TTATATGGTACTCTTGCCTTTTGTTCCTTACATAATTGATACAGAAAGTATCCGGTTGTTGTAATTTAGCTGTTTGTGTTCCATTTCCTTAGATTGCGTCGTAATTATAATTTACATCGATCGATAATCATTGGTGTGTAAATCGTTTATAATTTTACGAAAAGGACAATCTGTAAACAAATAAGCTCTTTATTTTGTTAGATCGACTTGTAGACTGATTCTTTCCCCGTTCGAGAAAACAAAAAAGAGCAAAGATTGAATGAAATTAGACGAAAATATCGCCCTCCGTTTAGTCGAGAAAGGTTCTGTCATCACGACTGATTCCACATCCTTCCCCACCATCCCCTCCCGTCCCCTTACCAGTCTGAGACATTACCTCGTTCCAGTCTATCACAACTCTTCCGGCTTTCTCTTTCATAGTCCCGGTTCACTTACCTTCATTATGGCCGACTGCAAGTTGCTACAATATGTTTGTTTTTGCCTTGTCGTATTTGTACAGAATGTAGGAGCAGTCACATCTTCCTGTAAGAAGTTAGATGACTGTTCTTGCCGCACGAATGATGGCAAAACCTTGGACCTGAAGCCAGTGGATAAAGATCCAGGTCCCAGGTAACGGCTTTCACTTTGTGAACTGTTTGAATTAATAATTCAAAGAGGATATTTAGAGCTAAATAACAGTTCTTGCGCTAGCGTTACATTAACCGGAAGTTTTGGAAACTTAAAGGAATACTTTGTCAAAAAAGTATTCTTTGAAGGGCACACGGCCAAAGTTATTCTTTGTGACCGGAACTATATAGCGACGCGTACGTGCAGTGTTCGGTTCACAGCGGTCACATTAAGACCTGACATTATAGTGTTTTAAACCTATTGGGCGATTAAGCCGCAGTGCCTAAAATAGTATGTAAAATGTGTGGCTCAAGGAAATTCCTATATATATGTAATGTCAAGGACGCAGTCGTGGAAAATCTACTGGATAGGGGAAATTGAGTCTTCTGTTATTTTCAATCAAAACGAAATGGGGAAGGAGAGGTTAAAGTTGAGAAGTTACCATGGAATGTGAGTACATGTATTGATATCGCATCATTTGACATCGTTACATGTAAAGTACTGCATGTTAGATTGATAAAATTCAAGATCCTGTGCACAGATCCATGTCAGTTTCTAACTGAGCAACTGTACACCTACTCCCCGAAAGAGCTAAACGAAAACATTCGAGGAGATCGCCCCATGATTTGAGTTCGCCAGTAAAAGTTACTGTCGATGGAAGCCGTGTTTTTAATTCCACTACGATTTACGAAAGTCTTAATATCTGACAACCCATTCGTCCTGTAAATGCCAAGAATAAGCTTAATAGAGTTAGAAGTAGACCAGTGCCCAGGGAAGCGCAGGCTACGGTAAGAACGCGTTGTTGTTTGAATAACGCAATCGCCGAGTTGTTTGATGAAAACGTGGAAATTCTAGAGTGTTTTTGAAGGTAAATAGTCTGAAAATAGTCTAAAATATTCTAGAAATCTTGATACTCGAAAGAAATACCCGTTTTGATTGAAATTTCAAGTGAAAATTTCCGTATTTTGCGGGACTTTGCGAATTTTCACGGATTGTGCGGGTTTGACCGAATTGTGCGGTTCCGCACCCGCGCACCCTGTCAGAAGGCCTGACTGTGCCCTGTGTGCCACTTTTTTTTTCTGGCCATGTTTTGATGTCATCTGTGATCTCTTACTAAACAGAAAGACGACAACATGGAATGTATTTTTTAAATACAGGGCAGATATTACATGGTGGCAAGAAGATGTGAATTTTTTCACGACAAACCTTTGAAGGCTGTTCAGTGTGAACATGGTGTGAACAGATAAAACATTTGTTTTTCTTGTAGCATCTTTTGAGAAATTCCTTGAAAGTCTTTAGATCACAAGGTGGAGTGGATGCCTTTATTTAAAAATAAAAATAAACCTCAGGGTAGTCCCTTCAGAAGCCCTTAAAAGAGCTACCTGCTATTAATGGGAGCCCTGAGTATAATCTAAATAATATTAAAATACATTACAATTTCATGCAAAATGTAAACAGGAAGATATAAAACACATTTCTAAGGCTATAGATTTCTAAATTCTGTCTGACAAGTGCTTCGGCGCAAAACTCAGAGTAACAGGGAATCAATGCGTCCTCTTTGATTCTTTAACTAATGTATACTCAGCTCTGCTAACACAGCATTGAGCACTTTATGCCAGGGTAGACTCTACCCTCACATTTATTATAATATATATATAATTTATATACACTCATATATAGCATTATTTGCATGCATACATGTTTACATATTTACATACATGTATGTTTAACTTACATGTGTCACTTCAGTAGTGAAATATGAATGAATTATGCTCTAACTGTATTGTTTTGTAGGTTCACTGGTATAAAGGATAACTCAGGCACAACAGGATACACCTTTAGCTGGAATCCATGTACACCTTTCAGTCAAGGTACTAAATGTGAAGATACCTTGGTGAGTCATTTTCAAGTTGATTTTAAAGTAATTGCACCAAAATTTAGCAACTCTAGTTTAAATTGTTTACTCCTTTATATTTGCCATTAATGCTAGCCAGATTAATTAGTTTGGTGGCAGATTCAGACCTTGAGGTAAGAGGGAGGGGGGATTGGTGGGTATTGTCACCTGCCAGCTTTTCTTCTGCATTTTTTGTAGCCCAAAATAAGAGGGTGGGGGGACTGGCAATGACAATGTTTGTTTTACACCTGTTCATGGTCAGGTCCAGGCTCATTAAAAGTGTGAAACTTGCTGCAGATTACCAATATTCTTAAAAACAGCTTTTTTTATATTGACTTATTTATTTATTTATTTATTTATTTATTTATAAGCTTCGCCAAAAACAATTTGGCAGGAGAGATCTCACAGAGGTAACGTTCCATTAACAGGACTCGACCTACACAATCAAACAAAAAAAAACAAAAAAAACAATTACAAATTACAATTACAAATTACAATTGAGTGGTAGGAATTATGTGATCAGAAATAGTTAATTAGCAACAGAGTGTGGGTAGTAATGCTGTTAGAGGTCTACTCATATGACATTTTATGCAGACACTTTTGAAAGTTTGTGGAAATGCAGGATCATACTCAGTGATATAATAGGCTAGTAATAATGTAATAGTAGTAATGTAATAGGCTAGTAATATAATTATGTTCAATTTTACTGCCTTGGGAAGGGGTTCCTTTTACCTTCCTGTCCCCTTTAACTTCCCAATGTACAAGGGAATGCATTATTTTGCTGACTGTTTGTAGTGAATGCACTAGCGTTTGGTTATCCTTCTGTGTATTGTACTTGTAGAAATGTTGGGAAGATTGAAAGCTGCATGATATTTGATATCTCATCCCATCACTGAGCTATTTTTCCTGTCTTAATTTTCAGTGTGCTTTAATGCACTTATACAGTCAAAGTTTTGTTTTAAATGTTAATTCTTGGGTAAATCCATTTGCTGTAATTAATTAACAGTTTTTGTAAGCTGTCAGTGGCCTGTTGGTGGCCTAGCTGTCTGTTATCTGTCAGTCTGTTCTTCACAAGTATGAAATGAATATATAATTATATATATATAATATATAAATTATATAGAAATAGTAAAATCAACAATGAAACAAAGTTTCCGTGACTTGTAGTTTCATGCTTTTGCAATCATCAGACGGTGGTTAATTCCAATGAAAGACATACCTTATATACAGAATGCTAATTATGCAGTGTGAAACATATAATTAGGTGGTGTGAAACTTAGTTCCTATAATTAGTGACACGTAATTCTACTGAAAGTGAATAAAAGTTAAGTTTTAAAGTTCGATAGGTAGAATTTGTTTAGCGACACATAATTCTACTGAAGATGAATGAAGCTAAGTTTGAAAGTTCGATAGGTAGAATTTGTTTTCGTGGCAGCATTTGGAAACTAGTTCAGATCTTGTGTTGAGTAAAGTGTTCTTGTTGGCTTGGAGAATGCAGACTTTTTCTGCGAGGCACAGAAGGTACATTTAAATGCCGCTACACCCAACACACGCTGTCTTTCTGTGACCCTAAGTACTCCAACTCCACCGAACTATCAAAGTACATCTGGGATCTGAAAAACAGCCAAACAACCTACTCAATTCACTGGTCTATCCTTTGCCACGCTCCTGCTTACTCTAGAAACAAAACTAAGAAATGTAATCTGTGCCTTGCAGAAAAAGTCCGCATTCTCCAAGCCGACAGAAACACGTTAATCAACACGAGATCTGAACTAGTTTCCAAATGCCGCCATGAAAACAAATTCTACCTATCGAACTTTAAAACTTAGCTTTCATTCACCTTCCGTAGAATTACATGTCACTTAACAAATTCTACCTATCGAACTTTAAAACATAACTTTTATTCACTTTCAGTAGAATTACGTGTCACAAATTATTAAATAGGAACTAAGTTTCACACTGCCTAATTATATGTTTCATACTGCATAATTAGTATTCTGTATAAGGTATGTCTTTCATTGGAATAACCACCATCTGATGATTGCAAAAGCATGAAACTACGAGTGACAGAACTTTGTTTCATTGTTGACTTTACTATTTCTATTTACGCTCTACTTTTATGTATTGAGTACTATACAGCCAGCTAACCCTTTTGAAAAAAGTGCTTATTTTATATCTATTTTCATCCTCGGAGACCCAGGGGCTGTGAGTCCGTTTCAAGTTAAGGGCAGAAGAGCCCCTGGGGACATTGTCTTACAAGACTAGTTCCAAACGGTTGCAGTCGTTCTGGCATCTAATTGGTGCCGGAAAATCTTTGTGTTTTTCTGCCCAATCAGAGTGAAGTGTCCTTTCGTGTGTTTTAACACGCACAAGCTCTGTTGCTCGCAGTGTTGGTTTGGGCCGTGTGACAAAGCTTTGCTCAAGGTGAAAAGTTTCAGTCTCAGCACACAATGTAAGAGAAATCGATTAGATTGTCCGCGAAATCTTACCGGAAATTATACTGAATATTTTCGCAGGTATCATAAGAGAACGAGTTTAAAAGTTTGCGAGGTTTGTATAAAACATAATGGTTGCAGGCATTGATATGTCGCTTTAAATGTTAGATGAGATGTAAGCTTAAATCTTTTTAGATTTTTTGTATAATTTGTTGTGACTGAAACTTTTCCAATCTCATGAAGTTATTTCGTCGCACGGGCCACACAGGTATGTCGAGCAACTGGCGTTTACACTTACGTAGCTTTCTGTGCGCGCCAAATTCTAATTGTTGCTTTGTAATAAAGTCTTTACAATATGGCCAAAGTTGCAGAGAACGTTAAGTACGTGGACGACCTCCAGCAAGCGCTTAAAGAAAGCTTAGCTGTGTTACCGGTTAGCTAATTAAAACCTGAACAAAGGCTAATCATAGAGAACATCGTGGAAAGGAGATTTTCGGACAGTTACCGAAGGGGTTTGGAGAAAGTTTAATCTTTCAACTGCTGCGTTGAGTGTTCAAATTCTTGAGCTCGAAAGGCCACGGATTCTCTTCTAGTCCCTTGGTCATTGTCATTTCACCTCTTTTGTCGATTGTTGAAGACCAAGTTAATTACCTTTGATCATTNTATTGTCAAGAGTTACCTTTTTATTTGCTAAAACGACTATAGTACAACAATGACAGAATCATTAAAAATTCATGTCAATTGAGGTTAATTAAAGAGACTGTGATTACAATCATGTATTTCAAGAATGATCTAAATACAGTAGAAATTTAGTTAAACCAGGTTTAACTGAATAAAAATCAGAAGCAGAGAACTGAAAAACTAAATTTTCCACAAGATTCAAGCAATTGCTAAAATGTATTTTCAATGTGCCACATTTGAAGTCAACCAAATATTGATTTGAGCAGCTTCTATGGAGCTGTTGTGTTAAACCATGTTTAACAAAATAGCTTTAAAGCATCTTTAGGCTTTGGTGTGAATGGGATATTAGTGACTTACTCGCCTGCGGCTCGGTTGTCATTTTTTTGTCCGTACCACATTTAAACTTTGTCTCTGACTCATCTATAACAGAAATGTGGAAAAATTGAACCAATTTTTCAACTTGCTGTCCTTTTTGTCTTCTTGTAAAGCCTACAAAGACGAGGAAGAGTTTTTCCAAGACTCCGGCTGTTACAGTCACTATGAGGGATAAGCGTATACTAAAGGTCGCCAAGTCCGACCTTTACTCGCTGCGTTCCAAAACCAAAAACCGACTGCTGTCACAAGGTTTCACTCTGAAAACTACTTACGACAGCAAAAATATAAAATGGACAAAATTGTCATCTCAAAGGAAACTACTTCGGTCAATGTCACATATCCTGTGTTCAAGCGCCTTGAGCACAGGATATGTGCGCTATATAAATAAAATGTATTATTTATTATTATTATTATTCAGTCGGAGAAACGAGAGATGCTGTTGAGATTTTCCGCAACACTTTCTCAAATCTGGTTTCCTCCTCACAAGAAGCTGTGAGCAAACGAGAAATCGGGCAGATAAAAGAGGTTAAAGACGCCTACTGCGTCGCTAGACAGAACGAGGCGACAGTCCACCAAATGCTCTCCACGACTTGCCATGATGTGAAAGTAAAGATTCACTGATTCAGTTCAACTTGCCTGTAGTGTGCCACTTGGTTTTGTGCCGAATCAAAATAGTAGCAGCTAATTAAAAGATATTTCCGTTGGCACTGCAACAATTTCCCATTTCGTCAGCTTTTTTATCAATTTCCGGTTTCCCGCTATTGTCCGTGATCTGTTGAGCACAAACGGTCGAAAGATGAACGCGCGCCCGACATTTGGCGACCGTCCATTTCTGACGAAGCGCACTTCAACGCTTTTATCTTTCGTCCATCGATGTTTTTCGCTTGCCACACAGTTAAGTCTAACACTCGATAACCAAGGAAAAAATGGGAATAATAGATGCCGATTGGTTTTTAGTTGTATGCTATTTTTTAGTTCAATACCTATTCGGGCAGTGGAATGTTGTATTGGTTAATCATGTTGAGGTATGTTATTCTTATAAAACGATAAGAGGTTTTCTTTTGATGTTATTGATAACTCTGTACCTCTAATAAAAATTAGAAAAAATTGCCAAATCAGGAGTCAATTGACTGTAGCGTTAAAATAAATAAATAAAGGAAAATAATAATAAAAATAGCATTAATATATGTAATTCACAATGTCTTTGTTTATTCCCTGTAAACCATCAAATGTTATTTTATCTAAAATGTCAGATTTGGCTTTAAGAGCAGATTTAAAAGAAACAACGTTCGGTTTGCTCTTTAAGTACATGGGTAAGTTATTCCATAAAAGAGACGCTCGATGAGAGAAGGAAGATCGAAGGAAATTACTTCTAGGTCATTGCACGTATAGTTTAAGACCGTCCCTGAGATTTCTTAACGGAGATTTTTTAGTAAATAGAGAGATTATACCAGCCGGAGCTCTATTGTAAAATGCCTGATAAGTTATAGTTGCAACTCTCTTTTTTGT